CCCCCCCCCCCCCCCCTTCGCTTTAGACGAGACAACCAGACATGGCTGGCAGTAACCAACTCAATCTCAATGAATCTAGGGTAACCTCTCTTTTCGTACTTTCATCTCCCAACTTAAAAACCTCTTTTTTTATTTTTAAATTTACGCCCTTTAACTTCAATTGCAACCACTTGAGGGGTTTTCGTTAATACTAACCTATTCCCTCATCTGATTTTTTTTCAATGGAACAATTGATTCTATGCTTTTGTTTTGTCCCTCTTGAGGGTAGGATAACAATGGTTCTAATTAATGTATTGAATATTTGTTTTGTAGAGTGTTGTGCCGCTGAATACATGGGTGCTTATCTCGAATTTCAAGTTGTCTTACAATCTACTGAGGCGTGAGGATGGAACGTTCAATCGTGAGTTGGCTGAGTTTCTGGACAGGAAGGTTCCCGCGAATGCAATTCCTGTGAACGGGGTGTTTTCTTTCGATCATGTGGATAGGAACACGGGGTTGGTGAACCGTGTGTACTTACCGGCCTCTGGGAGAGAGACTCAGTGGGGTATGAAAGACCTCGAGAGGCCCTTGAGCACTACGGAGATAGTGCCTGTGATTATATTCTTTCATGGGGGAAGCTTCTCACATTCCTCCGCAAACAGTGCTATCTATGATACCTTCTGCCGCCGCCTTGTGAGCATCTGCAAGGCTGCTGTGGTCTCGGTGAACTACCGCCGTTCGCCGGAGCATCGGTATCCTTGCGCCTACGACGACGGCTGGGCGGCATTGAAGTGGGTCAAGTCAAGGACATGGCTGCAGAGTGGGAGTGAGTCCAAGGTTCATGTGTACTTGGCAGGGGACAGTTCTGGTGGGAACATTGTGCATCATGTGGCAGCGATGGCTGCTGAGGAGGAAATTGAGGTGTTGGGGAATATTCTTCTTCACCCTTTGTTTGGTGGGGAGAAGAGAACCGAGTCTGAGTTGAGATTAGATGGGAAATACTTCGTGAGGCTGCAGGATCGTGATTGGTATTGGAGGGCTTTTCTGCCTGAGGGAGAGGATAGAGACCACCCTGCTTGCAACCCCTTTGGACCAAGAGGGAAGAGCATTAGGGGACTCAGTTTCCCCAAAAGTCTTGTTTGTGTCGCTGGTTTGGATCTGCTACAAGACTGGCAATTGGCATATGCAAAAGGTCTTGAGGATTCTGGCCACCAGGTCAAACTTCTTTACCTCAAGGATGCCACTATTGGCTTCTACTTCTTGCCAAATAATGATCATTTCTATTGCCTCATGAAGGAAATCAACAACTTCGTCAACTCTAACTATTAATATACCATTAGTACTACTACCACTACTTAACCTTACCTTACTTACACGAGGCATACATAACTAAAAGCTTGACATTTTACTTGGCTTCTCTTTCTTTTCTTTTTTTTTCTTTTTTTTTTCCACTTTTGTATTTTGTCTTTACTTTGTAGTGAGGGTGTGTAGTTATAAAATTGTGTAGCATTACATATATTATTGTCATAACATCCATGGTGGTCAATTTGAGAGTTCTGTAACCTGGGGACTGCTGCTTCCTGTTCCCTCTGTTTGTCTTTTGGAAGGTAGCAACTAGCAGCAGCACCAGCTTCGGCAGTACCAGAACTCGGTTCATTTGGGGGGTTTGGTGGAGCCACCGTATACAACGCTTTACCCCCCCTTTTTAACGTTTTGAGCTCGATATAGCAGGAGGGGAGATAGAAGATGAGGATTGGTTGATCACTTTGTTTGATTAAGTGAATGTTTTCCTGTTGTAGTACTAATTACTGAATCAATGTGAAGTGGAGAACATCCCAACCTGTTATGAATTTGTATGTTAAATATGTATACCTATGTTATATAAATGTCTTGGATGCTTGGGTTTGCATTTTAGTTGGATTCTCCTCCTCCAATGTTGTGCTCGTATCTGTTGAATCCTGCTATGGTTCCAATTGAGCAGTTTGAAATTTTCGTGTCACAAATAGTGTTGTTTGATTGATTGGATTGGGTTCTAAGATGCATGTTTCCTGATTGAAGGAATGTTAAGGCCCCCAAAAGAATTGAAAGGACGAACAAATGGAAAAAGAAGTGGAGTAAGCCTATGACAGTGCGACACAAATTAATTTGACTAGAAAAGTAAAGTTGAGCCTTTTGAATTTTGTCTGTTATAAAAGGCCTTGTTTTAATTTTTGCTGTTCCTTCGGACCTTCCAAAATATAAAGTAGGCTCACCATCTTTAGCATCTGAATCATAAGCAACAGTATAATAGAGGTAAAAGGTAGTACTAGTGCCCCATTGGTGAAAAAAGATGAAGCATTTGACATATTCCCTCTTTGCATTCTATTCTAGTTACGTTCGAAAAATATGATTCGTCTGGAAAACGAAAAGTTGATGCGAATTGTGAAGGGGGAAAAGAGAGTTTTGGTTAATGATGTGTTTGGCAGAAAGAATGTAATTGGGTTGAGGAGTGTTATTTTGTTATTTAATCCTAAGGCTAACCCCATGAACCAAAAGGACAAGAAAAGCTTTCACGCGAAGAATGATTGGCAGGAGTTAGAATCATTAAATTTCTTTATCTTTCAACATCAGTCTGATTAATTCTTGTCATCTCCATATTGCCTGTTATATGAGGTCCTGTTTGGCGTTTGGGAAAACAGCAAAAACGGGAATTTGGCATTGTTTTGACGGGGGGAACCCATTTTTCTAGTGGTTGGCATTTTTGGATGTATTCTTAGGGGACCACTTTTGGGAACCCCAAAAGTCCAAATTAAAAAATTAAACCTGTTGGGATTGCTTTAAAGTGTTTAATGCTCACTAAGTGGTAGGGAACAGCTAAGCTTGGACAAGGACATTGAACTCTGTCTTTTATGGACTTTCTTGCATCATATAAATATGTAAACAGAAAGAGAGAGAAATATAGAATTTAGGGTTGATTTTCACCCCTTCTTGTGCAGATTATCTTGCTTATTTCATGTCTTATTGTGATCTGTCCTTAGTAAATTAGCTGTTTATGTCTTGAAAATATTCCCAAATGCGACAATGGGAGGAGTCATTGTCAACAAATGAGTTTTCTTTATTGGAGATTACGGACAAAAAACTTCATTTGTTTGTTCGGTACCTTGCTTTTTAATACTACAATATAAAAACTATTCATTGCTTGTAGTTTGCGTGTTCACAACATTTCCATGGATCTTCTATTCAGGTGTGTCATCAGTGTCCAATTTTGTATCTCTATAAATTTTGTTTAAAATTAATATAAAAATAATAGAAGTTACAAGTTACAACATTAAATCAAATGAGATATGTATAGTTAGTTAAGAGTAAACAATTTTTTTTTTCTATTTTATTATTAAGAGATATGTTGGTGCAAAAAAAAAATATATATAATAAAAAGATATAAATGTCTAGAAAAAATGGAAATCAAAGGGATATATCTCTATATATTTTTATATATGATAAAGAAAATTATTTTTTCTTAAAAAAATAATTGTTTTTAAAAGGAAAAAAATAGTTGTTAAATTGAGAATAAATCCAACTCGAATAAAATTAATTAAGTCTAAAATTAATTTTGCAAATATCAAAGGTAAATAAATCTATTTTAGTCTTTATGAAATGAAAGAGTTTTAATTTTAGTTTCTATAATTCTTTTCATTCATTAAAATTTGAAATAATTATTTTTGGTCATTGTAAAATTTTCATTCCTTTAAAATATGAAAGCGCTAATATGGGTGTAGGGATGTAGACGGGTATAAGTAATACGCGAACACAAACTGCTAAAAATCAATCCAATAAGCTCAATTAAGATTATTTGAGGACTGGGTCATACTTGATCAAACCCGATCAAAATCCAATATTATATGACTTGTTATGTGTTTTTTATCCATGACCCAACCTGATCGAACATAATAATAATAATAATAATAACAATAATAATAATATTATTATTATTATTATTATTATTATTACTATTATTGTTATTATTGTTATTTAATATTAATATTAAAATTAATTTATAAGTTAGTGTAAGGTTATACTAGTGTTTGATGTTTGGATTCATAATATTGTAGCAATACATCATATTTATTTTGTATTAATTTAGACTGTTTGGGTTAATAACAATATAGCAAATCAATAAATTTATTTTTGAATTTAATTTATATCATTATTTGCTTTATGTGTTGATAATATTGCATTTGTAACAAGATATCACATAATTTAAATTTATTTTTAAATTTTTAAATTTTAACAACAAAAAAAAATTAATTATACATGTTGACCGAACTCAATCCAACCTATTTATATTGGATTGGATTTCACAATAAAAATATAGAAATTTAATTTAACCTGACCTATTGAATTTTTATTGAGTCAGGTAACAGATACAAACCTAATTCAATCCTTACTACATACACCTCTATTTTGATCTATCAATATTATATAATATTAGTAGGTGTCACTGAGAATAATCACTTGACCTCTTTTATTTAATATATAAGTATTTAGCCAGGTGTTAGAAACTAGTGAAACACAAAATAATAATTTTTGATTTTGAAGGACTGAAAAATTAAATAATTTTTTTTATAAAATAAAATTAAAATTCACTTATTTTATATTGATTAAAAATATATTTAAGTGTAAATCTTTTATCATAAATAACTTTAACAGACCTTTTTTTTTATTTCTTTGATAATCTTTCTAAAAGTCATAATTGAAGATTGATGTGAACAAGATTTGTAAAATAATAAAAAAAAATATTTCCATCGATTATGCTCAACTTTGATTTGCCAAAATGACTTTAAAAAGTAAGATTCTCATCTCAATGAAGAAATTAAAATCTAATTATATGTGATTAAGTGTCAAGACCCAATTCATTTAAATAAAAATTTGTTGAAGACTTTTCTCTTTGATTCTCCAAAGTCAATAGTAATTTTCTATATTTCTAAGATGGGATCCGAATCGCTTGCAATTGACAAGTGGAGAGTGGAGACGATTTTGATCATTTCAAATATTGTGTTCTATAGATGGACATCCACCTCCTAAGTTAGGGTCAATATTATAGTGCTATAACAATTCTTATTTAAAAATGCTATAGCTACTAACTAGGGTTATCCTTTGAACAACTTAAAAATATAGGATCTCCTCAATACATTTTCAAAACAATTCTTATTAAAAAAAAGGTTATAGTTAGGGTTATACCTTGGAAATGTGACACGAACTTCCTAAATATTTATTAATGAGCTTTGGACGACAATGATAAAACAAAATATTCTGAATATAATACTGCTCATGGGCTTTGAGTAATTAAGGTCAGCTGTCACCAAATACCAATAATATAACACTAATCTAATCGACTAATCCATAGGCTTCAGTTGAAACTATCTTCCTCACTTTCTTTTCCCTGTAATAGACATTTGGGAGGGTGGACTAATTGTGTATATTAAGATGTTATCTAATTGATGAGAATGAATCTTTGGAAAAAGAAAATGATGGAAATAAAAATAATTCTACACCTAACTATTCGCTTTCTTTTCCCCAGGAATAAAAAGATAATTATATACAGTTTTCTGATGTAATTAAATTATCAACAACGTAAAGGAGGGATGAAAATTTAATGATCCTTGCATTGCATTCATGTTTCTTGCTTTATATCATTCTATTAGCGTTCACATGTTTGCTACAAAATAAAATTATGAAATAGTAAATTCATTCTGTTCCTCATTTCGCAGAAGAAAATTATATATAAATCTCATCCCTTCCCATAGAGATAGGATTGGCACTTTCATACTCATTGTTATTTTTTCTCTCTCATCTTAATGTACCCTTATTTATTTTACTAAATGACAATTATTATGTTTCATTAATATATATTTAAATGATTCTGATCCTATTTTTAATTCACCTTTTCATGTATTAATAACTTTATAAGACTTTTTATTTTATTTTTATAGAATAATAGTTATTTAATTAATTGAAACATTCCAAATAACATAATACTTTCATAAAATTTAAATATTATGATCTCCGATCCTAATTAATTAATTAATTATAACATTAGACAAATCATTAAGATCAAGAAAAATAATTAATATAATTACTATTAATTAATTCTACTATAAATTTAAGTTTTATTTAAAATATAAACTTTACTTTTAAGTAAATGTTATATTTAATGCTAATTATAAGTAAATGCATAAAAAATTGAAGTTAACAATAAATAAAAAATTATAAAAGAAACTTAACCCATAGTAACTTTAAGAATAACTAGTAACTGTATTTGTAGATAATGTACTTGAATAATAATATATTTAATTTTTAAATATATTTTTAATCTTTATAAAATAAGTGAATTTTAATTTTGGTTTTTGAATATTTTTTCTTTATTTTTCATTTTTTTAAACTTTCTAAACATTATTTTTAGCCTTTATAATATATTTTTTGTCCTTGCAAAATAAGTAAATTTTGATTTAGTCTTGTAAAATATTTTTCTTTTGATTTTCATCTTTTTAAAATATAAAACTATTTTGATCCTTAACGTTGATTTTAAAACCTAAGATGATAACTTAATATTTTAATAAACAAATAAGTAGTTAAACATAATTATATAATAATAAATACTAACTAAAAACAAAATTTATTTAAATATATTTCAAATAGTTACGTAATAACTATTATATTAGAATTTAATCAATTGTTTATAATATATAATTACAAGCTTAAAATTGAATCATTAATTTTTTTAATATTTTTTATTTGAATGGTTTATTTTCTTTAACAATTCAAATATTTACAAAATACTGAACAGAAACAAATTTATTTTTCTCTTCAAATAATATATTTGTCTCTTAATATGTATAAGCTTATAAAAAAAAAACTTGATAAAATAAGATTTTATTATAATTTAATGATTTTTTTAAAAAGTATATTAATATATAATTTAATATCTCGATGCAAGATGTGTTAGACATAAATTTTATATATTATTAACTTTTTTACAAATTAGTTTATTTCATAATTAATAAAATTAGGTAGATTTTTTCATACATATACACATTTTAGATTATAAAATGTAAAAAACTAATGAAAATATAAAATAAAATTCAAAATGTTAAAAATTTGAGTTAAAATTAGAAGGTCAAGTATGCAAATAAATATAATAACCTAAAACAATAATATATTTAGGTATTGTGAAACTCTCTTTTCCTTGTGGACTTCGGTATTTGATTATGGAGAAAATTATGTTGCCATAAATTATATTTATTTCGCTCATATAAAATGTTATGTTTGTTCGTTATTGTAATTACAATTTTTTATTGGACAGAATTATTAGAAGGAAGGAAAAACAAATATTTATTTATTTATAATTATTTTCAGTAACAAATTATTTTATAATATTAAAAAAAAATCTAGTAATGATTAGTAATTACTAAAATATTTTTATCTAAATTTTTTCCTTTTAGTTTGATATATTCATTTTTTTTTTTTTAAGATGATAACTTAATATTTTAATAAACAAATAAGTAGTTAAACATAATTATATAATAATAAATACTAACTAAAAACAAAATTTATTTAAATATATTTCAAATAGTTACGTAATAACTATTATATTAGAATTTAATCAATTGTTTATAATATATAATTACAAGCTTAAAATTGAATCATTAATTTTTTTAATATTTTTTATTTGAATGGTTTATTTTCTTTAACAATTCAAATATTTACAAAATACTGAACAGAAACAAATTTATTTTTCTCTTCAAATAATATATTTGTCTCTTAATATGTATAAGCTTATAAAAAAAAAACTTGATAAAATAAGATTTTATTATAATTTAATGATTTTTTTAAAAAGTATATTAATATATAATTTAATATCTCGATGCAAGATGTGTTAGACATAAATTTTATATATTATTAACTTTTTTACAAATTAGTTTATTTCATAATTAATAAAATTAGGTAGATTTTTTCATACATATACACATTTTAGATTATAAAATGTAAAAAACTAATGAAAATATAAAATAAAATTCAAAATGTTAAAAATTTGAGTTAAAATTAGAAGGTCAAGTATGCAAATAAATATAATAACCTAAAACAATAATATATTTAGGTATTGTGAAACTCTCTTTTCCTTGTGGACTTCGGTATTTGATTATGGAGAAAATTATGTTGCCATAAATTATATTTATTTCGCTCATATAAAATGTTATGTTTGTTCGTTATTGTAATTACAATTTTTTATTGGACAGAATTATTAGAAGGAAGGAAAAACAAATATTTATTTATTTATAATTATTTTCAGTAACAAATTATTTTATAATATTAAAAAAAAATCTAGTAATGATTAGTAATTACTAAAATATTTTTATCTAAATTTTTTCCTTTTAGTTTGATATATTCATTTTTTTTTTTTATTTTCACTAGTAATTTGTTTTATAATATTACAAAAACCTAATAAAGATATTAGTATTTTATTTTATAATATTTGTTTTCTAATTATTTTCGGTAACAATTTATTTTATTTTATTATAAAAATCTAATAACAATTATTAATTATTAAAATATTTTTATCCAAATTTTTTCTTTATATATACCATAGATGAGTGTTATTTATAATTAGAAAAAAAAATATAATTTACTGCTTATAATTAAAACCCAATACAATGTTATCTAAAAGGCATCCTTAAGAAAATAGCATAAATATAACTAGAATAATTTATCCAAAATATTATACATGTAACTTTTTTCTAACACAGGAATCAACGCTTGCTCTTTTTTAATTACAATGTCTTGCTATTAAGTTACTATAAAAAACTGAATTTATGTTTCACGTCATTTCATTTATTTTATAAGATTAGCTTACAAGTTAGAGTATCAAGTAGAACGAAAAAAAAACCACTAGTTGCTATAATATGCATAAGCAAAATTTTCTTCATCAAAAAAATAAACAAAAATCTAGTATAAATAGAAGAAAATAAAATGCTTACCACCAACCAAGGACTTTAAGGCCTTCGTATAAATGACTTAATTGCAAAATAACATTCGATCGACTTTTCATCTATGAAAAGAATCTTATACAAAGGGGCGGAAGTAATATTAAAGAACCTATTAATGGTCTATAGAAACACACCCATCATGCGGAGATAAAAAAAATCACTACTAAGTTGATGGAACGCACTCTAAATATGTCACAAGATATACGACTAACTTAAAGCCTATGCAAAATAAATATTCACAAAGCAAAACTTATAAAAATTCAATTGATCAAGAATAAGTAACAGAAAGCAATAAAAATTATTGCAACTGATAACACTGAAAATTGAGAGAAGTTCAAAAGAATTATCTACAGTGATAAATATACAAAAGAAAAGAAGTTTTCATATAGCTGCTTACTGTCTAGTACTATCCAGATGAGTGTGCGATAATAAACCATAATGCTTTAGTCTTGAATATGATTTTAAGCAGCCAACAATAACGCAAATGAGCAATAAAAGAGATATTCTAGTGTCTTTTATGCATGATAAAAATATCTTATCATACACGAGGAAATGACAATTTCTTCATGCTCAAACAATGAGCGATGACACCTTTTTTTTTTTTTTTTTTCAAACATAATTCAACAAGCATGTACACAAAGTACAAGAAAACTTATTCTAATTTACGTTTTCTGTAAAGTGGCAGCAGAAATCCAATTCATGCCTTTTAATTCAATCAACACTATGTTCTTTGCCTATCAAAAAGGAAAACCACGATGTTAATTCAAGATATTAGTCCGTTTTATAGATCCAGAGGGAATAGGGATTCAATCATGAAATGTGGATTAGCAATATAAGCATAATGCAAAAGGCTGAAAGAGCATGCAATATACAATTCTTCAGTAGAACTTCTTTTTTCAATGTCGCTTATCCAAAATTAGGCATATGAATCATGTGTATTGAGAGTACTGCACAAAATGTAAATTATACAATCAGGGTAGAAAGCTACAGGAATCAACTTGTCTCTGGAGCAATTTCAGTATTTTCCTAACATCGAAGTCTACTATGTTCTCTTTCCCAAACAGAGTATGATTCAAAGAGGTCAGCATTAAGGTTAGTGGAGTCAATGCAAAGATGAGGGGGAAAATTCCATACTTGACCCACTAAATCAAACATCATTGACTGCCATTTATTTTTTATACTGGCATTTTAACTATTTCATCATGTTAACTCGTGTATTTTTTTTTTCTTGAACAAAATTGCTTATGTCAATTTATTCTTATTGCAGAAAAAGTTCACCATTTTGGTTTTGCAACTCAGCTTCTCAAGGGCACAGGCAAACTCTGAAAGTGTTCAGATACAACTTGAATGGTAGAACCTGAAACAAGGAGTTTAAAATCTTTTCAAGTGGATAAAACATCTGTGTCTACGAGCTGGTTAGAACTTTTCAGTTGGACATGTAGACTTACAATCAACAACGTCATTTGAAACATCATCTGCAGCTCAGGCAATATATTTTATGATGGAAATGCACCCAAGGGAACTTCATAACCATGCTTGAACATTTGTCCCAATGTTTTTAAAACCATGGAACCCTGGCCACGGCTCATGTAAGCTTTGTACATTATCCATAGCGTTTTCTTTGTGCAATCAAGCTTGACATTTTCCATCTCCTGAAGGACATTATGCATTGCAATTAAGGGCCCCTGTGACCCATACATGACCAGCTTACAATGATATAAGGAACGACAGATTACCCACCCAGAGATTTCAGCACGTCTAACAAAACTTTCTAGCTTTTCTACTGCATTGCACCGAAAATAAGTTGCAATTATGCATCTCATAATACTGTTGGTTGTTATGGAGGTTCCATGCTGAAATGCCTCATTTATTGCATTCTCCATTTTCTCTAAACAGTCTTCCTTGGCATAGAGTTTAATCAACAAAACATTTAACCATGGCCTGTAATCTTCTTTTGGAATAAACTTCATCAATGCCTCTATCTTCTCTAGTCTATCTACTTCAGAACTTTTACTATAGGCACATATCATACAACTTATTAATTTAAATCCATTTTCATTTACATGATCACTTACAAGGGAATACATCTCTTCCATCTTATCCAAATTACCTGAATTTGCATACCCACGAAGCATTAGCATGTAGGTTTTCATGTTAGGCTCAACAGGGCCTGACATCAACATTTGAAACACCTTTTCCATATCATCCCACATCCAAGCCGTGAGATATCCAGCAATTAAATAATTATAAGTGTAGATGTTCATGGCGAGGTCCAACTTTTGTATCTCGCGGAATGTTGCCTCCATGTGATCAACCAGCATCAAGCCACCAAAAACAGATATAAGAATATTGTACGTGGCAATAGAAGGATCACAAGTCGGATCCCTCTTCAAATCACAAAACAAGGACTGGCACCAATCAGCAAGACCATTGACCATAAAAACACTCATTAGTGCATTGTAAGTGATGGTCTTCTTGATGCCTTTGATGGCAGCCTCCTTAAATAGCATAACAGCAAATTCAATATTCGCAGATCTACCTGCAGCTTTTATACCCTTTGAGTACTCGTACGCATCCATAGGGTTTTCAACACTAGATTTCTTTCTTCTCCAATTAAACACCTGAATGTTTACCAACAAAAAGTTACTTTCAAATTTCACAAACTCTGATTTAGTACACCAGGAAAAATATCCAAATCCAAACCATTAAAACCAGTGAACCACTAATAACCGTACCAAACCAAAATAGCACCATTTTCAAGATCCTGTGCATACACGAAAACTAAAAAATAAAGTCCAATTTAAAAATGCATTTCCATTTTTTTTATTATGCAATTACGAAGCAATAAGCCAAAACCCAAAAGCCGGCTTTCAATTGAGTTATAAAAATTAAACCTGGAGTGCGACGGAAGGCTTTGAATCCAACTGATTCATGAGCTCGATAAACACAGATCCACTGGCGTAACGGAGATTCAAAGTGTCAGAATACTCGTCCAAAATGCTGTGAACCCTACCAGCCTCGGAGGATTCGCGAAGCAGCTCGTTCTTCAGAATCCTGACCTTGTTGATGAGACGCTCTCTGGCTGTAGTGCAAGCTTTTGCAGTGAACAAGGGAATAAGGTCAGAGACATTGTTTGACTCGGTGCAGAACTTGCGCGTGAACCCACGATATGGCACGCTGGTGAAGGAGGGAATGGTTTTGGGGTTTGAGAATCCATAGAAATGGAATTGGAAGAGCAACAACTGAGCTCGTTTTGCGTCTGAAGAGAATCTCCACACTGGCTTCATTGTCTCTGCTCGATTTTTTTTTCTAGGGTTTTACGGAGATGAAAAACCCATACGCAGTGACGCACTACTATGCATGCAGGCCAGGCCTCCTTCATCTTTGGGCTTTCTTGGGCCATACCCGTTTGGCAAATGTCATGGGAATGTGGAGCTTCAAAATGATTTCATTACTTAGCTTTAATTGTATTTTAAATATGTGCAGTTTAGATTAAATGTAATTTTAGTTCTCTTAGTTTTTTAAATCGATCAAGTTCTATCATAATGTGTACACTTAAAATATTTACTTTTCCAACAAGATAAAAAAAAACACAAGCAAAAACTCAAATTATAAAGAAATTTATACATATCTATAAATTAGAATCCCTCACTTGTAGAGTAAATCTCATTCTTCTCACCCTCTTGAGATTAGAGACTTTTAATCAACATTTTTTTTTATCTCTTTGGGAGATGTATTTAATACACACTTTTTTTTTTATAGTATCTTTCATTCGTCTTATCTACATATATAATTGTTTGTCTTAATTTCCCCCAGTTCAATTTAAGTATAACCTTGTAAAAACTTGAATTATTTTTTATAAATTCAAAATATAATTTATATATAAGACTAATTATTTATTTTAAAATTTAATTATAATATTTTTATAAATTAAAAAATATTTCTAATTATAATTACAATATGTACAAATAAATATTGATCTTATACAATGCATACTAGTTAAAATTAATAGTTAGTATACAAATAAAGAACATTAATCCATGTAAAATTTAATATGAGATCGACAATAACATTAAATCAATTGTAAACAATAACATATGAATAAATTAAATGAAAAATGTTATACACCTTTTAAAAATTGTTAAAATTATGTCATTTACTTAATATAATAAAGTATATCATTTTAATTAAATGTTTATTTTTTATGCAAATATATACTTTTATTTTAAATAACGAGGGATTTGTACACAAAAAAAACCTTATCTAGTATATAAAATGTCACTATCAACTCTAATGATTGAATGATTATCCAATTATTTATACATCTAAAAGTGGTTTTTTTTGCTGATATTGAAAATGAGAAAATCATTTTGTATTGATATTATGAAAAATTATAGAGAATAATTATGATATATATTTATATTAAAAATATATATATATTCTTATAGTTTGAATGGTATAAATTCATGTATAGTAGCGGATCGAGAATCTATTATTCAGGATGAGGGTGGGTTTTCATCGGCTTATTAATTGTTGTTTTCGTCTTTTGAGCAGATATTTTCCTGTAAATGGTCCCTTGCTGATTAAATTAATCAAATGGTAAACAAAAACGAAACATGTGTCTCTCTGTTTTCATCTGCTAGTAGCATATGGGAGTTAATGGTATCTTTAGGGGGTCATCGCATGTCAATATATCAAGGTTTATAAAATAGAGAAATTGAGTTGGTATATCAGTTGAGATCAATGTTTGAGTTCTTGGCTTTGGTTATCATCTATTCATTACCTACTGCAGAATACTCTTATATGTAGTCTGACAAGGCAATTAGAGTAATTTTGTCCTTCATACCTTGTTTTTTAGTGAAGAGGAAACATTCTAATATATCATATTGTTTTAGGTCTGTCTAGGATCAGCTTTGCCTAAAGCAAATCTAGCATGGATTCTAATGGGAAAAACACCTTGAGAATATTGCACCACTTATTCATAGCCGTGAAAATTAGCGTTATTTCATTTCCATGGTAATGTTACAAACCAGGTATGTTCTTTCTTATATAGCTTCTAACACTGTTAATTATTCTAATTCCCATGTTTTTCAGAGATGAAATTTGATATATTTTGATTAAACAGATATATGTAAGAGGATGATTATTTGCTGTGGGGGTAAATAAACGCGCTAGAGATATTTATTATGGGATTAAGACATTTCAATAATTTCTGAATGCAATGGTTTCCAATGACAAATGTAAGAGCATCTACAATAGGAGTTGCTTATAAGCAACTCCCAACCACTTTAAATAGGTCCTACTATGCCACGTCATTTATAAGCAACTCATATTATATTTTTATAATTTTTGCTTCAACGAGAATTGCTTATAAGGACTCCAACTTTTCTACAACTTATACTACACTTTTTGACACCTCGCATTATTATAATAATTTATATACAAAGGAAAGTAAAGAAAAAGAAAGCAGAAAGTACAACAGAAGCAGGCAAGCACCGTTGTTTCTGCAAGACACGGAGCTAAAAAATTTTTTCCTTCTTATGCCACGTAAGCCTACTCCAATAGACATTCTTTGTTAGAAACGGTGCTTATAAATAAGAAACTGGGTAAGCACTGTCCAACTTGGAGGTGCTCTAATGACTTTAACAAAACTTTCCCTTCATTCCCGCAATCCTGGTTGTGGGAGCTATGCATGGAATTACATGCAAATACTTAACTACTACACCAACTTATGCTAAGGCCATTATGAGTTCCATAATTTACCAAACCAAGGTGGATCTTTGCATAATAAATCTTGTATTTTCCTCTTTGAATCGGAATTTTTTGTGACATTATGAGAAGATTTCTACATTAGCCACAAACACAAGCATATACTGACACACCAAAAAGTCCTGGCGCCTGTTGTCCAGTAAGTGATAAACTGATAATTGAGACAAAGATGAAAGATATTGGTCTGAAAAGTCACAAACAAAAAATGATTGTAAAATGTAAATAATTGTATACAGAGAATGAAGGTAATGTCGTGCAAATCGACTACAAGCAGTACCATGAACAGTAAAAAGCCTGGGCCTTCAGCACAATAGGCTTTGTCTTTTTGTAGTTACAACGGTCGGTCACCCAATATTTTAGCATGCATATATCAATTTTAAATCAATATATTTTAATCAATTTCTCATTTTTCATCTTTCATAAATTTATTTAGAAAGAAATGTCAGGTTAGATGAATTTGTACGACTCGTTATAATTATTTGCATAGACATGATCTATAATCTATACATCTATATCTATCTATATAATTATATAAAACAGTCAAATCAGTTCGCCTATTAGTCGCCTCTCATAATCTATCTTCTATGACAATTTTCCACTACTTATTATACCTTGATATTTTCATGTAAGGTTGGAAAATAGATGAATTGAATAAATTTTGAGACTCGTTTTTATTATACCCTAATGTTTCTTTAACAGCGAGTCGTGCTTTTCATGTAAAGCTGGAAAATAGGTGGATTGAATAAATATTGAATTGGATTATAATGGATGGATTAAAGATAATTTATTAAATAATTTATTTTTATCAAAAATTTATTAAAAACTCAATCCATTTGTGAGCTATTTAATAAAATCTCTATAATCTATCCAATAACATTTTTTTTAATAAATGGATATCCAATTCTTCATGAAAAAATTATGATTATTTCTTAAAAATACTTTTCTCAACTTTTAACAAAATTATTTTTAAGTTGGTTCTAGTCAATTAATATATCTTTAATATAGTCTTGATAAAAGTATTTTCAACTTGATCTTGATAAATAAAATTTTTACACAACTTTGACTAGAATAGTTTTATCTGAATTTCGTTAAAAGTATAATCTTAACCAGAACATTTTCAACTTGATTTTGCATAAAGCATTTTCATCTCGAAATTAGTCAAAATGACATGAATCAAAACATCTCCTACTTAGTCCTAGTTAAAGTAATTTTTTATCAATTCTATCCAAAATATTCTTAACTTAATTAGTCCGATCATAAGATTGATCTCGATAATTTTACTTTAACCTCATTTATAACATATTTAACTTCATTATTAATACAATTGATTCGAAATTTGTTTTTTTTTTTATGAAAGGCCATATTCTAATTTTTATCATTAATATGAAGTTGTTATTAGAATATCATCTTATCTTTCAAAGAGAGTTGACTCCATAAAAAAGAGAAATGAAAAAATTTATTATATATTTGATTCTACATTCATAATTCATGTTTAAAAAAGAATCACGTTAAAATTGATGTAAATGTAAAAGTAATTAACTGTTATTTTCTCTATTTACATTATCACCTACTTAAAGAATTTCCAAACATGCTCAAAATGGAGGAAGGTAAAAGATCGAAATTAAATAATATATATGTATCCCCTCCCGGGGAGAGGCAAGACATTGAGTTAGATATAAACATCCACCGCACGAAAAGCAAAACCTTAGCAAATAGAATCTAAGAAGGTAACAACCTGATATGACAAATGATTGAATTTACCTATAGGAAAAGCCACCATTTGTGTGAAGTAGTGGATCTGCTGCTTCCTTTTTTTCTCTTTTTCCATGTGTCCAAGAGTAAGTGCCAATCTAAACACCACCTAATATCACAGGTTTTTCCCCCTTCCCTTAACGTTTTGCTTTTGTTCCTACACGTGGTTAGCTGTTCCCCATCAGAGTCAAACCATGCAAACCAAAACCTCAAATGTCTTTTTAATTTATTCACCATCCATTGCACCGGACCCTACAATCACTATATATTATTCATTAATAGTGTGTTTGGATGAAGAATTTTACAAATTCAAGGAATTTTAAATTCTTAGTATTTGAATTTCTTTGATTTCAATTTCTATCATTCTTGAAATATTTTGTTTGGATGAGTCAATTCAAATTTTTTAAATTTTAAATTGTTAGGTTGAATATGATAATTTTATTCCATCATAATAAAAATTGATTTTAAAAATATATTTATATGTTAAGATTTTTAAATTAAATTTTATAAAAATAAATATTAATCCATTTTTAAATATTTAATAATTTTAAAAATTAATATTAGATAATATTTAATAATTTTAAAAATCAATATTAGATCATGTTTAACAATTTTAAAAATATTTTTGAATATCCAATAATTAAAAGAATGAAGAGATAAGATAAAATATATAGGTGAAATAAGAAAAACAAATATGAAGAATTTCAAATTCTCCCATTTTTTGGAGAATTTAAAATTCTACTATTTTAAGGAATTTCACAAATGTTTGGATTTCAAATTCTTTGTAAATTCCTCATCCAAACAAAGCATTTCACCTCAAAGAATTTGAATTTCTTCAAATAAATGAATTACCCTATATAAATTCCTCATCCAAACACACCATAAGAAAAATGGTGCGTGATACTATATATTAGTTGATATTTGAAGGAAATTAAGAAGAGAGAAAAAAATAAAGATATAGAAAAGTGCAAATATAATAGATATATAATATGATGTGATAATGAGAAAGATAAAAATAAATAATATATAGTTGTTAATGGAGTATTTATAAATTGAAGTATTCACATAATTACATATTCCATTAATCAAATAAACCCTATGCTTATAACTTATGAGGAGAAGGGGGGGGGGGGGGGG